TTTAATTAGCATTTGTGGATGTAGTGTCAGAATTTTATTGTGAGGCAATGGTTGAACCACACCACATCTTTATTCCTGAAGGCCTTTCTGAAGGGATGTAAGAAGCCCACAATATAAGTTGTCTCCTCACACCTGCTGCTTATTAGACAAAGTAAGAAGCCATTCTGTGCTAATGTTTTATGTAATTACACAGGTGGCAAGTAGAGGGATAGAGTAGAGAGAAGAATGATAGTCTGACTAGAAGGCTTCCTACATATGAGCGCGTGTGTGAGTGAGCAAGTGAGTGTGCTTACAGGGCTGTTGAGGATCATGAGGCACTGATCGAAGTGGTGATGCTCCATGGTGGAGTGGCAGTACAGCTGGGCCAGTGGGTGGTCACTCCTGGAGAAGAAGAAACCGAGGGTGAATAGTGTGCTCCCACGCATGCATATATGATCATGCACACACCTCTGTGACTCATGCTCTCTGATGTACCTCTGTATGTAGGAGTTATTGACTCCTCTGTGGTCCAGGTCGTGGCAGAGTGTTGCAATCATTAGAGCCAGCACCTCCAAATCACTCATATAGCTCTGTTAGGAGATGAATAAGTACATTAAGGCAAGGAAGGAAGGCGGGAAAAATGGCAGCAGGTTAACAGATGACATACTGCCTCCTCAACCAAACCAAAAAATACAGTTGTGTACACAATGCTGTTATAATACACAGTGTGGGTGCTCAGCATGCACCCTGGAGTGGACATCAAAGCTGGTTCTGCATATGACACTTTAAGCTTTTATGCAGCCAGCTGCCAATTTTGCATACAAAAATCACTAGTTTTTATAATGTGAATTATTCCCGAATCAAAAATTATTTTTGTTCTTGGCAGTGTGCTGGGGTCCTTCAAATCTGTCTGATCATCCATAATAGGGTAAATCATATATAATTCAGTCTATTAATTGGAAATCATGTAAAACTAACAATCTTTAATAAAAATACATTAGCAAGTGCATTTTTTTGCTTTTTTTGTTGTTCAAGGTTGTATTGTTGTGAGATAACTTAGACGTTTCAGCAAGTAACTGCTGATTCATAACTACATTAGGGATAAATGTGGTAGAGTAGTAGGTGTGCAAACGGGTGGGTATTCTGGAATCCTTGCCAAGGATTCTTAATTGGAATTTAGGCTCTTTTTTTTTTCCTTTTTCTTTTTTTTGTGTCCCGTTTGGATCTTTAGCCATCAGAATTGTTGTCTTAAGGCCAAGAAAGATGCCAAGCGGATTTATTTTACCAAGTGGATCATCATGGCCTTGCCATATTGGTCCATTTGATTGACCTTTATTATAATTATG